AATATGTCTGCTTGAAAGAATGAAGAATATGGTAAACAAGTTGCTATAAAGAATGCATAATTAGCCTATATAACCATTGGTATTTCATTAAAAAGTAGACCATGTTCTTGTTCTTTATGAGAAGTGGTTTTATTTAATTTTAACATAAGGCATGTTGTGTGACACAGCAGTTAAATCGGTGTCTATCATGATAAAACATTAATACCAAACCTATATAATGAGTTTGGAAATTTTAGAGAACTGCTTAATAAATGCATTACACTAACTAAACCCATTAGATTTTAGCCGACTAAATTTACTGTAGATTAGTCGACTAAAACTAGACTAAAACTAAAAACAATTCAGATGACTAAAATATGACTAAAACTAAATGGCATTTTAGTCAAAAGACTATGACTAAAACTAAATCAAAATTTGCTGTCAAAATCAACACTGCAAGTGTCTTGAGAGTGCAAGTCTGAGAATGCAAGTGCAAGTCTGCAGCCAGACCCTTCTCGCTATGAAGGCAACAGATTTCTCATCCTGTCGCGGTCCTGCCAATATATGACTTTTATAGTAAATACTGTTTGTAATGTCATTTATATCAAGAACTTCACAATATCCATCTTTTAAAGGAGACATATTATGCCCCTTTTTACAATATATAATATAAGTCTCTGGTGTCCCCAGAATGTGTCTGTGAAGTTTCAGCTCAAAATACCCCAAAATTTATAATTTTAAAAGTACCTATTTTGAGTGGAAGCAGAAACAGGCTGTTTTTCGTGCCTATCTTTTTAAATCCAAATGAGCTGCTACTCCCCGCCCCCTTTTCCAGAACAGAGCTGCACTATTACAGCTCGTACCTGCTAAAACGTCTGTTTTGGTTCTGATTATCATGTTTATCACGCTGAAACCATGCGTTTTAAACCATATTAGTTTAAACTTCTGATATATGGTTTTCTGAGTGCACGCATCCGAAGCACATGGACAGAAAGTGGCTGTCACAGCATGTGAGTACTAAACTAAGTTCCCATTCACACACAAGTTTACGTTAAAAACACACATGAGTTACAAAAACAGTCGGTTATGTCTGTGTGTAACCAAACAGTTTATACTTCCATACTATTTTAATTTTATTTGCCATACTATGGAAGTCAGTGGGATAAATCAGTTGTTTGGCTACCCACATTCTTCAAAATATCTTCTTTTGTGTTCAACAGAAGAAAGAATTTCATACAGGTTTGGAACAACCTGAAGGCGAGTAAATGATGACAGAATTTTAGTTTTTGGGTGAATTATTTCTCTAATGCACAGCTAAAATGGCCCTTAAAACCTAGCTCCCATTTAGTTTGTTACCCATTCATGCCAATAATATTTAATATTTGAAAACGTTTCTGAAATGGTTATTAGCTTAATAGAGATTTAAAGACATATATAAAACTGTAGTAATAATATGAATAGAAAATGAAATTATGGCCGTTGTAAAATTTAGACTGACTGATTAATAATTCAGCAAGTGTGTGCTTTATGTGATGACTTGCAAAATTCAGATACTGTGTTTTGTATTGAATGTGTGTGTATGTTTTTGTGGATGTTAATGTGCTTGTTCATTTAAGTACAGACCAGACTCTTTCCTATAGATTTCGTATTTTTGGTATGTTTATTTGTAAGTATATAGTGTACAAGAATAAGAATATTTAAGTCCCCCTTCAGTCACAAATTCCCCCTTAAATCTCAACTTTGATAATCAATGACTTAATAAAGACTTATTAAACATTTTGACCAGTGAACATTTCTTCATGGCCTAAAATGGCTTGAATATAACTCTGCACCCATACATCATTTAGTAAATGTGGATTCATGAATATACAAATTAGACTAGTCCCCGCTTCCACTCAATCACACAATCTCGGACTTCCTGCTCTACTTTCACTCGCTTAACTGAAGTAGTAAATGCTAAAAAATGGCAAGTGGCAACATTGGATTAATTCAGCCATATAGGTTTAAACCAGAAACTGATTCCAAACAAAAAGAGAACAGGGTCATCTACAAGTTTATGTATCAGAATAGTAATGCATTTTATGTATTACTCCACAACATCGGACACATGACAGTAATTGATATCATATAATTGATTTTTTTCCCCCCTCTGGGTGTTTCTATTGCTCTTTCACCTTCATACTTGACCAGATGGTTTCTATGGACTGACGCAGAAATAGTTTGTACTTTCTCCCATCCCGAGAACAAAAGTATTCCCAATGCCAATCTGAAAAGACAATGAAAAACATGTGCTACTCAGTCCTATTCATTGACTTATGTCCTATACAGGGCCGGCGCTAGCTATAGGCAGAGCAGGCGATTGGCCAGGGCCTCGGACTTTGAGGAGGGGCCTCAATAACCGTAACATCCCCTATAATGCTAGTCCACCAGTCAAGACGGGCAGAAATAGTAGCCTCATTGTTCATTGGATATAGTTGAATTGTCACTCATCTGCAATTAAACCAATTAATGTTGCAGTTTCAAAGCGAGTCCCGCCTTCTGAATGTTTGCGTAATGCATGCATCCATCAGGAGCTGCGAACTGTGCGATGCAAACAGCTAAATAAGCACGCAAAGAAGTACAGCTCCTAATGCAGGTGTGTGAGTTGTCGTCATCTATTTTGGAGTGATTGCAATCTATGACTAGCAAAATAGCTACAAAAAGTAAAAGGAGAGAAGTTTGTATTCAAAGTTAAAAAGCAAACACACTACACCATTTTTTTATGGTTCAAATAAAGGATCTCAGGTGTATATTCTAAATTCGGCTGATGATTAGGATTACTACTCTAACATTAAAGGGTTAGTTCACCCAAAAATGAAAATTAGCCCATAAATTACTCATCCTCAAGTCATCCTAGGTGTATATGACTTTCTTCTTTCAGACGAATCCAATCGGAGTTATGTTAAAAATTGTCTTTGATCTTTCAAACTGTTTCATGGCACTCAGCGGGTGTTGCATGCTTCAGTCCAAAACAAGTTAAATAAAAAGCGACCATCCATTAAAAAAAGCATCTCACACTGCTCCGGGGGGTGAACAAAGGCCTCCTGTAGCGAATCCATGCGTTTTTATAAGAAAAATATCCATATTCAAAACGTAATAATCACTTTAATGTAGCTTGCACTCACTGTTGTAAACAGAAGCAGTTCCGGGGTAATGACGTATGGAGGTCGGCTTTGCGCATGCGCCGCTCAGAATTAACGCACGTGGAAACGCAGGGGACAGATCAAAACAAAACAACGGTCACTAATTAGAAGTTCAAAATGAGGATTTGCTGTCTAGGATGTCTAGGACAAAACAAGGATTTCGGGGGAATGATGTATAGAGGTCGGCTTTGCGCATGCGCCGCTGTTACGGCCCATAACCATTTTAAGGCTCGTTAATTCAAACAATTAAATAAAGGACACAGGCTGAGCATATAAAAAGAATCACAATACCTGATGTGAATTTCAGGACGCCTCTATTTAATTAATTTACGGAGTTCAAATGAAACATTCAGAAAATAATGTGCAACAATTCACAAAGAATATTTATGAACATAATCTAATGGATAATAACAAAGAAAGAATGATCAGCTCACGGGTAGGAAAGCTAAGAAAACAGACTCCTGACTACACCTGTTCTGGGAATAAAGTTCTTACCTGACTCCCGAAATAAAAAAATAAGAACGGGTGAGTCTTCCGGACCCCTGCTTCCCTCGCTCAGTTCTTACTAAATAAACAAAACGTGAACTAATAAATAAATACACTACCCACTACTGGTAAGTAAGAAAGTATATCACATATCAAAACACAAATTTATAAGTTAAACCTAAGCATAAAGAAAAACAAAAATTCCAAAGAGGCGATGAGAGAGACGCTTGCGAGAACAATGGGAAGCGGAGCAACAGAGAGAGACCGCCATTGTCGCCTTGCGGCCTATTTATCAGGAATACTTGATGACGTCACGCTACTCTCACGGAATGGGAAATCCCCCACAATGCCACCTATGGGCTTAGAATATAAGTGTCACACAGATACACGTAACAGCCGCTCAGAAGTGACGCACGCGGAAACGCAGCGGAGAGATCATAAACAACGGTCACTAATTAGAAGTACAAAACGAGAATTTGTAAAGAAGAATGTCGGAGGATTTCGATATAAGCCAAGAGGAGACTAGTTTTCCTTTGCTCCTGTTAACAGATGTTGGTTTTCACGAGACTCACCAGCGCATGCGCAGCGCTGACCTCATACATCATCCGCCTAGAGCTGCTTCCAGTATACAACAGTGAGCGCAAGCTAGATTCAAGTGATTATTATGTTCTGAATATTGATATTTTTCTTACAAAAACGCATGGATTCGCTACAGAAGGCCTTTGTTCACCCCCCGGAGCCGTGTAAGATACTTTTTTTTTATGGATGGGCGCTTTTTATTTAACTTGTTTTGGAACAATTTGGAGCATGCAACACCCGCTGCGTGGCATTAAACAGCTTGAAAGATCAAAGACAATTTTTTATATAACTCCGATTGGATTCGTCTGAAAGAAGAAAGTCATATACACCTAGGATGACTTGAGGGTGAGTAATTCATGGGCTAATTAAAATTTTTGGGTGAACTAACCCTTTAACACTTATAATTTCAGTTTCAACTAACTAAATACCTTTTTTCTGCTTAGTAGCAGATCGTGTCTTTCGGTTCCACTTGATTTGTGTGTGTATATATATATATATATATATATATATATATATATATATACTGTGTATATGTCATATTTAAGGTAACTGTAGTCAATATTGATGAAATGGGATGGGGAAATCCTGCCCATACCCAGCTAGGAAAAATAATGATAAAATCACTTACTGAAGTGGTATTCTGGAACTGTGATTCAATTAAATATAACAGTAAAATAATAACAACAACACTAACATCTTCATCAAAAAAAAAAAGAGATTACCTTAGATAAAGTTTGATTAATATGTACAAACAAACAAGTTTGGACCCATTACTAATTTGAATGTTTTTAAAAGAACATAAAAGAAAGACATTTCTTATTATCATCAAGCCTGTATTTATTTGATCAAAAATACAGAATAAACACAGTAATATTCAGCAAGAATGTGTTAGATAAAAAGTGATAGTAAAGACTTATATCATTATAAAATATTTTAATTTTAATTTTTAAACTTTATTTTCCTGAAAAAAATATCACAGGTTCTAAAATAAACAATAAGCACTGTAACATTGATAATAAATCAGCATATTAGAATGATTTATGTAGGATCATGTGACACTGAAGACTGGAGTAATGGCTGATTTTGCATCACAGAAATATAGTAAAATAGATTTAAATAAATTCAAATTTTAAATTGTAATAATATTCCACAATATTATTGTTTTTTTTTTCTGTATTTTTAATCCAACAGGCTAAATGATGGCCATAAGAGACTTCTTTAAAAAACATTTAAAATAGTAATGTTTCCAAATTTTTGTACTGTATAAGTAAAAATATACAAAATGTAAAATTAAATGTTGTATAAATAAAAAGGTTAGGAATCATTCATATTTGTTTCAAGTGCTTTTCATTGGGGGTGGGGGGCCTCCAACATGAATTTTGCCTAGGGCCTCCTAATGTCTAGAACCGGCCCTGGTCCTATAACTCATAAAGTTGACAAGATTTAAGATTTAGCAGCAATTATCAAGTCAAACTATGGACTACTCCCTCTCATAATCTATTGAGATTTAACATTATAGTTACCATGTGGAAGAAAATAAAAAATACTTACAGTGAGTGAGTCCACTCCTGGGACGGCTCCTGATTCTCCTTTAATTTTACAGATGACGGCATTGGACTCAATCTTCTCCAAAACACACTGATACTGCCGGTCTCCCTGTAGACCCGTCACAGTCACCTCACTCATACTCAAATTCAACATATCTGCCTTTTTCTGAGAAAGAGCGAAAACAATTAGTGCAATCTCTGCACAGCTGCCAGATCAAGTTCTTTCACTAATTTCTCTATATCTTTTATTAAACAGCATGAAAGAGGCAGAACTTCAAATAGTAACGGTTTATTCAGCCAATTTAGTCACTCTTTACCTGAATGTTCACCTGTAGATCGTTGGCCACTGGAAAGGTAGTAAATCGAATGAACTTTGGATCAGGCTGGTAGGAGAAATAATACACACAGTCCACAGTGGAGTTCCCAACATTCAACAACAAGCTAAAAAACTGACCACTGCCATCAGAGTGGGGGGACTCAAACCACACATCCTGAGAAAGAAAGATAATGAAATAGGACTTTAATAAATGTGACATGTTCAAGAAGCTTCATATTAGCCATAAATACAATAAATAATGTTTTATTACATTTATTTAAATATCTAGTCAGCATTTAACAATTATATGATCAAATCTGACAAACGAGAACTCAGGCATTACATGTGTGAATGTGGGCTGTTGAACTGTATTATGATAAAGTGCTGTGAGCTGCTTTCTGTTTGAGGTTAACACCACATTTGAGCTGCTGCACAAATAATAAACACAACTTACCCCCGAGCTTGTGCTGTATTGTGTTTTCAGCACTTTATTAGAGGGAAGTACAGTAACTGATTCCACTAATTCCATATCGCTGCCCTGAATCTGAATCTTCCTTCCACCGCTGAATGAAAAGATTATGAAACACAATCAAAATAACTGAAAACAAACATGTATGCAGTGTGGAAGTTGATCAGACAGCAGTCTGAAATGGTCTGACCTGCTCCAGCTGACTGTGGGCTGTATTCCAGTGCAGCTGGGCTGAGAACTGTAAGTGATGATGCTGTTACCATGACAACGGTCGTCAGGAGTAACAACACACACTTTCACTGTTCCTTTAGTTTCACTGGGAGGAATGTGGAACCTTAGAGTGTCACTGGAGCGATCAAACACTGGAGATCTGAAGGTAAAGATATACAGTATGATTTATCTGAATCTACACACATTCATATATACCACTAAACAAACACACAGAGTCTCACTCTTTAGGAATGCAGTCCAGATCCCCTTGAATACGGATTTTAGTGACAGATTCCAGGTTCCTTCCTCTTAGTAAAACATTGTTTCTGCCATGGAAAGAAACCTTGTTCGGCTCCAGAGACAGAATCTCCGGCTTCTACAAAACAACAAAGGTTGCACTCAGTTACAAAAAAAAAAATCAATATAAAAATCAATATAAACAAAATAACAGAAGTTAAAATTAATTTAATAATTAATTATATAATTCATATTTTACATTTACATTGCATTTACATTTAGTTATTTAGCAGATGCTTTTATCCAAAGCGACAAATGAGGACAATAAAAGCAGTCAAAACTAACAAAAGAGCAACAATATATAAGTGCAAATGACAAGTCTCGGTTAGCCTAACGCAGTACATATATATATATATATATATATATATATATTATACACACACATATACACACACACACATACACACAAAGACTGAGTTGGGCAGGTCATTCCACCAGGAGGGAACAGTTCATGAAAAAGTCAGTGAAAGTGATTTTGTGCCTCTTTGGGATGGCACAATAATGCGTTGTTCACTTGCAGAACGCAAGCTTCTAGAGGACACATAACTCTAAAGTAATACATTTAGGTAAAGGGGTGCAGAGCCAGTGGTAGTTTTGTAGGCAAACATTAATGCCTTGAATTTTATGCGAGCAGCTACTGGTAGCCAGTGCAAATTGATGAACATGCGGACATGCGTTCTTTTCGGCTCATTAAAGATTAATCTTGCAGCGGCGTTCTGGATTAATTGTATAGAGGTTTGATAGAAGTGGCTGGAAGACCTGCCAAGAGAGCATTGCAATAGTCCAGCCTGGACAGAACAAGAGCTTGAACAAGGAGTTGTGAAGCATGTTCTGAAAGAAAGGGCCTGATCTTCCTAATGTTGTATAAAGCAAATCTGCAGGACTGGGCAGTTTTAGCAATGTGGTCTCAGAAATTCAGCTTATCATCAATCACAACTCCAATGTTTCTAGCTGTTTTTGAAGGAGTTTTGGTTATATATTATTAAATAATATTATATATTATAATTTATAACAATTAATATTGTTAGTTATTATTTTAATATATAATATATATTAATAATTACTAATTATATAATATATATAATTTATAAATATAAGAATTATTATTAGTAGTATTAGTATTATAAATACACATTGATAAAATAAATTGTAAATATGAATAAATAATATTATATATAATTTAAAAGGAATGATAATTGTGAAAAATTGTTTCTCAAATGGGGAAACAAAATCATCAGTCTCTTGTAAAGTCATATTCATTTGAAATAGGAACATACTGAAAAAACCACATCCCTATCCTGTGAAGTTGGACACATAATCAGTATGACACTTACATTGAAGACCATCTCAGACAGTAGATATTTACATGCATCCTAAAAAGTAAAGAAAGAGCAGCTCATATACTTCCTGAGTTCATTCAGTCAACACAATGATAGTTCAGCTATCAACAATTAATTAATATGAATTTATTAAGGTTTTTTTCCCAATACAGATACTGAAGCACTAAATTGTCTCACCTGTATGTGTAACTGCAGCCCACTTCCATCTGTCCATTCACAACGTTTGGAGGAAGAGGGCCAGTGACACCCAGCTGAGACACACTGCACACACCTGCATTTAATTAATGTTTTTTTATCATTTAAATATAGGAGTTCAAAATAGTATTTCAAAACTCTCATAGACTCTGCATTTTCTCACCGTGTATAAGAAACAGTTGGTGAATTTTCTGTGATAGTGGAGCAGTTTGTCAGTGTCAGCATCTCTGTGATCTTCTGATCTTCAATAGTAACAGTAGCAGAGACTCTTAAACCTGAACAGATTATCAAAAATGTTTATGATCATAAACAATCATATAGCACATTAAAAACTTCACTGAAGGAGAACCAACCTCCAGTATATTGTAGCTGGTCAGAAAAACTACAGGAGCAATTTGGGAAAACTGCAGGCGGATCAGACCCGTCACACAGGTTTACACTTCCTTTAGTGAAAGTACATGAGAAGGCAGGATTTCCTGTGCTCTCCAGACTCAAGGAAAGATGTAGAGTAATCTGTGTAGAAGAGGGCAATGGCTGGTAAAAGCAATCTTCTAAATATTAACTAAATGATGATAAGTAAATAATTCTAGCCAATGTCTACCTTTCTAGAAGAATTCTCTGCCATCTGAAAAGAAAACAGTCGCGTCTGGAGAGAGTTTTTTGGGATGGACACCCATGAAGTATTCGAGCACTCATCTTGAGTAGAACATCTAGATAAAGACAGCATCAACCAATATATCACTACAGAACTGTTTGCACACTGCTCATCTTGTCTATATAGAAGATAAGAAGTTAACATGCTGTTCTACAATTAGGCATATTTAGTGTAGATGCAGATCTCATGTGTGATGTGAAAAATCACATATGATAAAGACAGACTGACCTGTGTGTGTTCACACACCAGCCGCAGAGAGGATCCAGAGCAGCTCTGCAGTCTATCAGAGTGCTGTATTTAGCACACTGAACAACGGACTCTCTTCTTAACTACATGAACAACATGAGCAGAAAGAGACTGTATGACAATGCGATCTAACGCACAGTAAAGCATCAGATATACTGCCTGATTTAGTAACTGCATAGTTTCATTCAGAGGTTTCTAACTGTGGGGCATGAGAGAATCGCCTTTATTCACTGATTAAAACAATGTCTTGGATCAGCTTTTTGGCTTATAGGGCAAACCATTCTTTTCATATTGTTCCTGAAATGCATTATTACATTTTACTTACTCATTTTAGAAAAGAGTAAGTAATTTTTAACTAAAAATATTATATACAGGAATTATTTATTATTATGTTTCTACTATAGTATAAATACTATATATAATGTTTTTATTGTTTGTTAACTGGACATTTGCAAACTTCACCTGTTTCCTCAGAGCGATGTAGATATGTTTGAAATCTACTGGATCAAAGTGCATTCTGGGAAGCACTGCTCGTTCATCATCAGATTTAAATAGCACTATTGGACATCCTGGAGTGAATTTCTCATCCAGCACAAGCTAGAAAAACAAACAGAAATACAAATCATGAATTATGACTGCAGTTATTCAAATAATTAGGCAACAGCTTTAGAGCTATAGCCTATGTGTAAACAGAAATGATGGACAGGTACCGTATTTTAAAATGAAAACTCAGTGAGACTAGTGAAATAAAGGCATGTGTGTTGGAGATAGAAGTGAAGCAGACCTTGATGAGTTGGCTATCACTGGTTCCTATGAACAGCACAATCCAGGATCCACTTCTAACTGCTGCCACTGCTGACATTGAGCTGTGCTTGAACACCACAGAGAGCGGCTGAAGTTCAGTATCACTCTGAAACCCAGAGAAGAAACTGAAACTTTATATGACTTTAGTTCAATTACGTTTAATCATGCAACAGATTCAGGTTATTTTATCTTTATATAGTAAAATGTTGTTCTTATTTTTTAACCACTTACTGTGCTCCCCTATTTTTGAGCATTTTCT